GACTCGCTTCAGCTCGATGCCGAGCGAGAAGCAGAACTTGGCTAGGTACGGGGAGTTGGTGTCGATGGTCTAAGGGCCATTTGAGGTTGTGTCAGAATCCGTGTTCTTTTCATCGGGGAGCTTGTGAATTTTCCATTTACCTTTCCGCCGAGAACCTCGTCGCCAATGACGAGGCATGCTGCCGTGTGGATGGGCTTCGGGTGCGCGGCTGATGTCATCGCGAACGGACTTGAGCTAGGGGCCAGGAACGGGGTCGAAATTAGGGGACCGGTGAAACGAGTGGGACTGAATGGACGTGGGAAGTGTCGAGTCAAGAGATTCAGTCGGTTGAGCATGAAGAGAGAGAGGTGTTGGGGGAAGTAGTTTGGGTCTGTTCGTTCTGGGCGTGGAGGAGATGGAAGTGGGGGGAACATGAGAACTCCGCCCGCATTTCCATCATCTCGCCTCACAGTCCAACAGTCTCCTCCGGGTTTCGGGATATAACAGCATCATCTTTATTCCGTGCGTTATTAGCGCTCGACTCGGCATTTTTGTTTACGTGATTTCTCTGCGGGTTCCACAGTTCACGTTCAAAATGGTGAGATGGCTCCCCGCACCAGGTCGATTGGCAAAGGCCATAGCGAACTGCTCCCGAGTTTCCCCCCACCAAAGGCTAACCTAGAGCAGTCTGATTCACGACTCTATTCGTTCTCTCCCGAGACCAAAGAGAAGCTGCGCAAGTTCCGCCTGGGCACATCGAGGGCCAAGGATGCGCAAGCTATCATCTGTATGGACCCCTAAACTTTTGCTTTCCCACATTTTCCATGCATTTCAACCAAGGCCGGGCTATAGAGTACTTAGATAGTGCCAAACTTAGCCATGCTGATATCGTTTCTTGCATCTCAAGCTAACACAAAGTGCGTGATAGATATCATAGATCCGAAGACCCAGGAGATTCGGCCGCAAGACGATGAAATCTACTCCAAGATGGAAGATCTGGCCGATGATCTCCCCGAATCCTCGCCACGGTTCATTCTCCTCAGTTACCCAATGACCACCGTAAGCTGTCTCGATAATACAGACTTGATCTGTGCTATGGTACGCGTTTTATTAATCAAGACATGCATCCACAGAAAGACGGACGTCCCTCAGTCCCCTATGTTCTCCTCTACTGGCTCCCCGAGAACTGCAACCCGATGCAACGCATGTCGTATGCAAACGCCGTGGAGCTGATGCGCACCAGTGCCCAAGTCAACCGGGTGATTGAAGTGGAGGCCGACAACGATATCATCGACATCAAGTCCAAGCTGACCGGATCGCACTAAACCATTCGGGCCTGTGAATGCATTTCTTGATTGGGAAGCCTGGCTATTGGTGGATTGTGCATATACCCAAGGCGTGGGAATTGTATAGAAGGCGTTTTGTTTTTCGGGTTTGCGGATTAGCTGGATCCTGTTGGCTTGTATATGCCGCCCATGCACCCACAGAGACACCCGCATAGGGTGTCGAATGTACTTCTGGAATTCGAAATTTGACCGACACTTGGCTGCCTAGAGCAACTTAGTTTCCTGCATCTCAAGCGGACGTCTCTCGCATCAGAGCGTGGTCCTTAGAACGGCATGTGTTATCTATCGACGAGATGATTTTTCATGATGCAACTCGTCCACCCGCGCCAGTGGTCGATCTATCGAGTTCTGTCCTCTCAGATCACCCTGTTTTGGATGTTCCAAAGAGAGTGGCCAAGACCCAGTCACTCGGGGATGCTGATATTCATCTTGGCTCAGTCGGCCTACGTTATAGTCCAGTTGGGTGTGTGACCCATGATTGACAACATCAGGCTTGTAATGGTTTTTGGCCTAGCTGGCATTACTATCCATCATTCACGAAGAGTCAGGTCTCGTGCTCAGAGTAGCGTGCCCCCTGCATCGTAGCCGTCAAGCCATCGATCGCCAGCCACGGAGGAATAGCCAGGCTGATCGATGAAACTAGACCTCGTGCTTCGTAGAGCATCACCCCATTGATCCAGCACCAAAAATGCATCAATCGGAGAAGATCTTCGGGATGCGATCGTCTTCGACGCCCGTAGTTCATCCGCTAGTATGGTCTCATTGATCCCGCCACATGTGTGTCCTCTGACAAGACTTCCAGGTCTTTCGATCGATACCATCGGCGGCTTCGTCCTTTTTTTTGGGGTAATTTATTGGTGGAAGTAAACATGCAATTTCCATACAAGTGCTTGACTGGTCTCTCTGTAAATGTGATCGTCCACTACGAAATGTCCTTGCTCTCCACCGTTAGCTAGACGGTTCTCTCTTTTTTTTTCTTTTTCTCTTTTTTTTTGCTGGTAGTTGGCCAATTGGTTTGGGACCTGTACTACACAGATTGTATGATCCAGAAGGTCATCGTGGGTTGCTGCATGTGAAAAGTCAAAGATCCTTGACAAGGGTGGGCAGTTTCTTACGTTGGTCCGCAGTCCTGATTCGATTGTATTCATTTCATCATGCAACACTATATAGTATAGTACAAACAGGATCAAGAGTATCAACAAATTAGTAGCAGCCGTATCAATAGAGTCCACGCCTTCCAGTACCAATGGAAAGGTACATAGGGCCGAAATCCCGACGATGAATTGTGATATCTGGACTGGCGGTGGCAAAGCGGGCGTTTCATCCGGTGGATTTACCCGAGGGCCATTGTGTCGGGTCAAGTCTGAACGGTATTTGGAACAGTACTATGTGGTCTCTGCAAAGGGGGGTAACCCAGACAGATCGACAGAATCTAGGTCTGATGTTACAAAGGCTTCACATGAAGTGTAAAGCATTGCATGGTTTAAAGGCAGATGAGAGGCTAAGAATAGATGCAGTACAGCATCCCGAACAAAGAGGGGGTTTCTATTCTGTCCATTCCATTGTGCATATCCTTCCGTATACATGGGAATGGGACGGGTCATTCATGCTGCATGCAGAAGGCCCGCCGGAATCATCAAATACAGGGAGTATCGCTGTCTCAGACACGATATCTGATTGTACAATATAGGGTCTCTTTGAGTATCTACAACATACCAGATAATGAAAGAAAAAAAAAAGGCCAAAGTCCAAAGTCCATTCAACAACAGGATCTTACATCAATATCATGTACTGTACAGCACCAGGGCTCTGGGACGATCCGACCAACTCCACTCTATGCGGGGCCCACTTGAAGGGAATTATATTTTGTTGCTGATCAACCCAGTTTGGATTTTTATTTTTTATTTTTTATTTTTCCCAGGGGCCCTGTTTATTATCTCTTTTTTGGAATGCTGTACAGCAAAACGTGCCTGTTTTCATTGCAGGGGTTCAAAGAGTGACCACGCTAAGGGCTCTATACTCCATCAAATTCGACGTCAACTTCGGCTCGAAGTCACTTTCAAGGATCTCCCTTTTCTGTGCTTCTTTATACGTAAAAAGAAAACCTGTTCATGCTTGGACTTGTGGAATTTGAGCTTTGGGATCGAGTGTTTGCATCATGAATAGCCTCTTCGGGTCCAATGGTCGGACAGACGCCCGTGGGACTATCAAAAGGTCTGTCGATTTGCCTCCGGTGCGAACAACGTTCCGCACGGGCTTGACAATCCCAGTGATCCATCATCCCGTCAGCACTATAAAACACCACAACTCAACTGATGTGAAAGGTTCGATACCTTAATGAAATCAAGTTGGACGTACATGCGAAGGATTCATCTGCAATCCAGTAACAATCCCTCTATGTTGCATGATCTGCTCCGTGGCCGGAGTACTCCGTACAAGATACCGAAGGACCTCAAAGGCTGTGAAAAGACAAAACTCTATATCAACGAGTTAGGACTCTCCATAGCAATTCAAATCCCGGTTTGAAGCAGGCCTCCTGATCGACTGCCACAATCTCGAAGCAATTCAACCAAAAACCAAAAAAAAAGCACGCTCAATCCTCATGTGCCCCTCAACTGTTTCTCCCCGATCCGCTCCTACGGACCAATAAGGTAACTGCTTCTGGGAAGGCGGGATGGCGGGTGCTGCCGTAAGGAGACCTGGCGCCAGATTTCACTCCTTCCCGGTGGCCCCGGTCCACTCTGGGACTCGAGGATTCACTCTATGGCACTCCATCGGTCGACCGCCGGGGATGGACCGCTGCAACATACGTATGTTGTGTAATGCGTACTCTGTACTTTGGTCCTGAGCATGACGAAACACAAACATAGCCCCGTGAAGGTAGTTCAGGGAGATCAGAGGAACCAATGAGATGCCCATACAATAGGGGGCTCCAAGTCTGATGTGCGGAACCCGTCAAATGGCTCGCTATTCTCGGATTTGGATTGTTAAGGTAAGAATCTCCTGAACAAAAGGGTATGGAAGGCCAAAGCCTTTTTTTTTTTTTTTTTGGGGTTCAAGGTGTCACCGGGGTTGGAGGAGAAAGAGTGGGGATGCACAGTAGAGACGAAATAGGGGATGTCAGAGTTGGCAGGATTTCATCTATAACAGAACTAAGGACGACGAAGTACTCTATAGTCATCGTATGGTTGATGCTTCATTGCCAGTACCTCCCTATGATGGTTAGTATGGAGACAGATACTGGCCTCTGCATTTACCTCTGTATTTTCCATTATGCATGCCCGGAGGAAAAAAATACTTTAAAAGTTGAAAAAGAAAAGAAAGAAAGAAAAAAAAAGGACGATTCAAGGAAAAGAAACGAAATTAAAAAAAATAAAAATAAAAAATCAACAACATCCTAAAATCATCCAAATCCACAGGACCACACTGTCGGAATCCCCACGTCTGAGCTTAGGACCTTTTTTTTTATACAGTTGCTATACAATACCTTTTCTGGGATCATAGTCTGATTCCTGATTTAATTCTTTATAAGAATTGGGGTGTCCCTACTTTTCTCTCCTATCACCTCCAGTCCACTTTGATATTTTTCACACTGGACAGATTGGGGTGGAATTAAACCCCGACACTCAGTTGATCGTCAAATCAACTGCCATTCTACTCTCTTTCGATTGAATAATGGCTCGAGGTGGTGACCCGGAAAACACGCCGGAAGGCTTCTCTAAATGCCTTAAGCCGACAACGGCCGTCCTCCCTCTTCGGTCAATGCCCCCACGACAATCTATAGCTCCTGCGTTAGCTGCTCCCGCGAAAACTACGTACGAAATACCTCATTCTTTTTATCTCCCATTCTTGACTAACTAGAATTGCCTAGAGATAGCGCACCAAAGGCAAAATTAGTACCAAAACCAGCCCAGGAGCTCAGCCCACTAGGTCCCGTCATGATCACCCACTACAGCAAGACCCAGCAGGAAAAGGCGCGCACCCTTTTTGCAAAATACGGCCTGACCATCGACACCGGCGACTGGAAGACACCCCCGGACCCCCAGCTAGCCCGCGTAATGAAGCCAATCCGCATGCGAGTGCGCCGTACCTGCCACCGCTGCGAGACCACCTTCGGGGCAGAGAAGATTTGCATCAATTGCCAGCATACCCGCTGCACAAAGTGTCCTCGAGACCCAGCTGCCCGCAACAAGGATGGCGACAGCTCAATGCGCAAGCCCATGCTTCCAGAGACCTACGTCCACCAACCCCACTTACTCCCCAGGACCTCGCACCTCAAGCTCAGCACCACGAGGGTGATTTCCATCACGATGTCGTCGCCCACCGGCGGCCAGGATTTCATTCATCGGCCAGTGCGCCAGCGGGTCCACCGCTACTGTCACCTCTGTACCTCGGTCTTTACCTCTGGCTCCAAAGAATGCTCGAGTTGCAGCCATGTGCGCTGCAAGATTTGCCCACGGGATCCGGCTAAGCTCAACAAATATCCGGATGGCTATGCGGGGGATGTTGATCCACCCAAGCCTAGACCGGAGCGCACGTTCAAGAAGCCTCGTTGCAGAGTCCATTATGAATGTCATGTCTGTGAAGCTTGTTTCCCGGGGAATTCAAGTTCTTGTGCGAAATGTGGTCAAGCGAAGTGTGATGAAACGAAACGAATTCCGTACGTGTGATCTCAACCCGACAACATTTGTGGCCTCGGATTCATTGCTGACGTTTAATTTCTTTTCTAAGGCCTAAAAAGGACAAACCAGATTCCAGCCCTGAGGTTCGGATCATTCTCAAGGGCATTGAAGAAAAGCTAGCCCAGATGGCGCTTCAGCACACTCCAGACATTGTTGAAGCGACGGCTTGGGCTTAGAACAGACCAAATTGCCACAGCCGGACCCATCCTTGATCATCTCCCCCGTTTCCACCTGATTTTCCCTCCTGCGTTATTCCTATTACCTCAAGCTGGACCCAACCTGATGATTTGCTTTGTTGATTTCTAAACCGTAGTCCTACCAAGAAAGACAGTACATCACACACCAATGGGATAGTCTAAACTTCTGCACATCACACCATTTCTCTCATCGGGGTCGGCTTAAGCACTTGCAACTGGAACTGAACTACCCATCATCTCTCTCGTTTTTTTTTTCCAATTCCTAGATTACACGTCCCTGCATATACATGACCTGGATCCGGATGATGTGTAAATTCCCATGGAGGCGGACATACAGATTGCATACCCACTGGGGTGGCAACGTACCCACCAAACCAGACTTTCTCCCACTTTCCGTTTCCTGGGAATAGCAGACGTTCGTGTACATCTTCAACCGAGATAGGAAAAAGACCCGCGACAAAAAGAAGCTTCAAAACGCAGTCAATGTGAACGTCTTTTGGCCCATACAAATGTACCTTTTTCATAACCCCCCCCCCTTTCAAAATAGAATGCTGCATCAAACCAATCCTAACGGCGTTTCCCGATCTCACCCACATCCTCTGTCGAGTGCACATAAACAAATGTCCTACGTCATGCGACCTTATGGGGACGCATATGTGCAGTTGCCTCGTTTATGTTGTAAGTGCATCGGGCCTCCTTTTCGCCTTCTACGGTAAAGCTGACACCTAATTTCAAATGATTCCAAATCCATTTGAGGGCCCTATTCCCCGGGTTGATCGTGACGTCAAATGATGTGGGTTGCACAGCGCCACAACAGATGAGCATCAACCGGAACTCTTCCGGGCATTTCAGAGAGGAGAGTGATTTCGGCCGAAGGAGATAGAAATCGTACCACATGTGAATCTTACAGCGTTGCAAAACTTCAAGGGTCACTCACTGGACAACATCGCCTGTGTGGTTCCGAGTTTTTTGGTATTAATTTTTTTCTTCTGGCTATTTTGACCTAGATCCGATCCAGTGAAGACTGGTACACACAACAGAGATTGGCTGACGGGATTGATCACCCAGCATGTGTACTCCGTTTTTGCACGTTCAAGGCGAAACTTGGAAGAATTGTCATGATGAGAGAGCACATCAAAAGGCCAAGTCAGGCAACGCACTCCATAGTGGGGCTATAGGCCAAGGGTTATTGGCCCAGATAAATCGCCCATAGCCGCTGATATCTCGATTTCTAGGGCTTTGGGTTCGGACTGTTACCCTTTGTTGGCCATGGATCTATGTGCTCCGTCCAGAATAGTCTAATGAGTTTGTGGAAAGGGTTGAAGATTGATGCTTGTTCGTATTTGATATTTAAAAAAAATTATCACTTGGCCAGACTAGATTTTTACATGGCCCAGTTGAAGATCTTCGTTGGAAATAGTTTTTTTTTTTCTTCTCTCTCGCTTGACCAAAGTACCCTAACCCCAGTCACAATACCCAAAAGTCCGGAGATCCCCCATCTTAACTACTCCATAGGAAGGATGGAGCACCACGGAGTAGCCGAATATGTAGACTACTGCAGGGAAATGACTGGACAGGGCAGAAACCCGGAAGTCCGGAGAAGGGGGCTACCCGCTGTCACAACGCATTATCCAGAACATCCAGAGTTTTGGGACGCGGGGTTTGCATTTTCTCAAATCCCGAGGCCTGGGCACGGTCTACCTGAAGGTCAAAAGTACCTGGAATATGCACGGAGGAATAATACCAACAAGTCAGGGGCGGCGAAAGACCGCTTCGGGGCAAATGGATAAAATGGACCACCCAAGCTCCAGCGCACCGGGAATTGAGCGGCTGCGTAAATGCGCCCGAAATGCGCCCTTTTTGAGAGAAAAGTCAAACTTGAGTGGCTGGGGGTTGTAGATTGGAATCCATTTCCACGGCCAAGGAACTCAATCAAGAATCTTTTTCGGTCATTTGGTTCTCCAAGGCTCTACTCTACTTCGTAGAGTGGGTGGAAATGCCCCAGCTGGCCGAGACCCGCCAGGCTAAAAACAAATCATGACTCGTTGTCATTACTGGAGATAAGAAATAAGACGAGTTCTACGGTGGCCACTACGACTCAAAACAGATGAGCCACTGAGCCTGGTAGATCGTAGATGATCGATAGAGTTTGTGAGAACAAGATGTTGTGTTGGAGCAACGTTGGCCGAGCCCAGCCTTGCGTCAATAGAGCCCAATCACTGGGGTTAGAACTCTACTGCATCTATGGAGTTGAAATTTACACCACAATAACCAGTATGATGGATTGTATTATACCACTTTCTAGCTTAAGGATAATGTGGAATGTGTCCCACTGTACATCCATTTAGTTTTCAACGAGGATACTCCGTACTCCGTACAGAGGTGTCACCTTGTTATTTCTTCCCGTGGACCCTATCAAACCCTAAAATATTGTAAATACTGAATCAGGGGGCTGTGAGGAGAGTCTAGGTTCTCTCCACCCCACTAGACTGTCTTTACCAAAGTGTCGGATTGAAGAATCGAAGCTATCGCATCTTCAAAAATTTTCAAACCGCCTGTTGGAAGGGTTTGGTTTTCGTTAATTTACTTAAAGTTTGCCTTCGGGGCTTAATTGGAGTTGACTTTCCAGTCCCAAGGAAGATGCCATGTGGTCTATCCTTTGGGATTGGTGGATGTGGTGGTTTCTGCGAGTTTGGCACCCTTGTCAACGTTGTCTTTTTTTGGCCTTGTTTTGGTTTTTTGGAATTCGGATCAGCAATCTATATCGATGCAATCTTGACTATCTGAATCCTAGGTCTAGTTTGTACAGATAGCCCCAAATGATGACAACACCCTTACAAGAATGATTGCCTTCCAGATTTGGAGAACGTGAGGTGGAGGTCATTTATTGCCTTGTTCACATTGGTTGTAAGATTATTAAAAGTAGGATCAATAGATATTAAAACACGTAGACCATGGCTTTAGATCAGCTGAGGAGATGGGCATCCCCTTTGCTAACGAGGTGCCTGCGCCAACACCTCATTTGAGAATTACAAGTCGTAACCTATTCCAAGTTTCCACATGTAGACTACGAGAATGGCCAGCTACATTTGCGCCCGTATGATGTTTTTTTCGTAGTCGTTTCCGTATGTTGTAGTCTTCTCAAACGGTTTTTGTTTAGACGTTTCCTCCTTCATTGATGTTGCAACTGGAGTCCAGACGGTTAAAATACACAAAACGGCTTTTCCACGTATAGCTCTTGACTTGTAATAACCTCCAGTCAATGCAAAGCCTCAATCCCCCGACAAAGTTGCACTGTCCCTGCAGAATTCCCAAAATCAAGATTATTGACACGGTCCACCCGACCCAAAGCCGGCCGGATAATCCAGTCCTTGCTTTTGTCCTCGTCACTCTGATCTTCCTCCATAACGGGAATCTGATCAGATCCCTCCAGCTGAAGCAATACCACATGACCCTCGGGTCGTGCAAAGAACATGAGACTGTACCGCGTCGACTCAGCCTATGTGATCCATAGAGGATCTTAGGACACTAACACATACATCGCAGCAGCAAGAATCGGACGTTCTGATTCTTGCTACACTACTTTGGCCGAGAAGTTATTTGATTTAATGCGGTCACGTAAAGGTAGTGATGACCTCAGTTGAGCTCTAAACAACACCTGGAGCCTTGGTGACGCCACAACCTGGTGAAGGTTCGACCGAAGCAACCCATTCGTAAACTTGACCGTTGCATCTCCAAGGTTTACCATAGCACGACCAGGAAGCGGTCTGAAACAAACCCATTCGACAATGACACTGTGAGTAAGCACTTGCACGCCCCCCCCC